AAAAAAAAGCCCAGAGCCCTAGCCAAGCCCAGAGTCGTTGTAGGAGGGGACTTCTTAGGGGTATGAATGTTGGGGGAGGTATTGGGGGTTGCCAAAGTTTGGTCAACCATTGTATGTAAGAGGTGAGGTCTGTCCTTTACCTCTTTATAAAGAATGATCATGAGTCATTTTAATATTTGCCAATTACATTGGCAAAAAAATTTTTTTAAAAGCCTTCTAATTATTTCAGCTTTGGTTTCCTTAATTGTTAATGAGGTCACCCATCTTTCCATATGTTGATTGGCATTTTTTTTTTTTTTTCCACTGAGAATGTGTTTGCCCATTTTTTAATTTGACTGTCTTTTTTCCTACTGGTTTTTAAGAACTCTTTGTATATTAAGGAATTAAGCTATTTAACTTCAATTCTGCCCCTGAGTTTCTGTCTCTGATTCCAGCTTTAAAATGGAAATCAGCATCAAAACTGGCTCTACCTCGGGTTGATGAGAGACTGATGAGGTGAAGTGGTGAAATCACAGGGCAAGGGAAAGCACTTCCCTGTCAGCCAGACATGTCCCATCAGCTCACAGAACCTTAATCAGGTTTTGCCTCACAGCATGTAAAAGTGACCATCATAGGATGAGGAAGGGCCATAATACTGTATGCTGTTGTTGTTGTTATGTGCCCTTGAGTCAGACCTGACTCATAGCGACCCCTCCTTGGGTTGGGTTGCCGAGGCACTATCACTGTGAAAGTAGATTGCCTTCCAAGGAATGGCTGGTGGCTTGGAGCTGCCAGTCTTCTGGTTAGCAGTCAAGTGCCTTAGGCACTACACCACCAAAACTCCTGTAATACTGTATAGCAATTAGAATTAATATTCAAATGTTGAATTGCCTACAGGCTAGTTTCTGGGCTTGACCCATTTACTTCTGGCTCTGAGCTGAGGCACATTGGCATATCAGACTTAATTGGCTTTCTACCCTCTTCGCTAGAAATTGTTGTGGGAGCTCTGGTAGCATAGTGCCTAAGGCACTTGACTGCTAACCAGAAGGCTGGTGGTTTAAACCCACCAGCCACTCTTGGGAAGGAAGGTTGGGCAATCTACTTCCATAGTGAATCTGCCTCAGCAACCCAAGAAGGGGTCACTATGAGTCATGTCCAACTCGAGGGCACCTACAACACAACAGAAATAGTTGTGTCTCAAGCCACCTTGAGTTGTGCTTACTCCCTAGTTATTATCTCTATGGATTTTGGAGCGGGGTGGTAGGTGTTTGCATTTCCTGTGGAGGAACTAACCTTATATGCAGTTTATTGTTTCTTCCTGACAGCCACTCATGAGATGGTTGTGACCTTTACTGACCTTCTAGACAAAGAGTTAAACTCGGGCATTGTTCTGGTTACCTAGTGCTACTCTGACAAGAATATACCACAAATGGGATGGCCTTAACTAACAGGAGTTTATTCTTACAATTTGGAGGCTTTAAGTCCAAGTTCAAAGTGCCAGGATGTAGAGTCTGGGTGAAAGTCCCTCGACCGTGGCTTGCAGCTCTGCCTCCTGCTCCCGGCCCGCTGAAGCTGGAGGCTTTTCTTCACTCAGCTGCTGGCTGCCAAGGCTGACAAGCCCAAGGTCGACAAGTAAAAAGACACAGCCCTGATGTTACCAACCCACACAGCAGGGCATTACTTCAAGTCCATTGAAAGTCCCAAGGTCAGCAGAGCATGACAGGCTGCTGAACAACGACATGGCTGCACGCAGGGTCCAAGCGTGCCGTGAGCTAGAGACCATCCCCCAAGGCTTCTGCTTATATGCAGGAAGCAGACTGCATGCTCTAAGGCAGCTACTCAGCTGCTCCCAGTAGATTCCACCATGGAGTTGATTACCAGTCTCATCATGAGGAATACTACATCCAGCTGCCCAGCCATTCAACCAGGCCCAGCCAAGTTGACACACAAACTGAACTACCACAGGCGTTGAGTATCTTACCCAGTTAAGTAATGGATCTAGGTCTACGTTAGTCTTCTTTGGTACTGTATAACATACTACCCCAAACTCAGCAACTCAAAACAACATCAGTTCATTCTCTCTCAGTCTCTGTGGCTCAGTGGCTGGGGGCTCGGCTCACAGCCCCACAAAGCTGAGCTCCAGGGGTTCCCTGAGGCTGCAGTTCTCTGGATCTCAGGGTCCTTGTCCACGCTCCTTCAGGTTGTTGGCAAGGTTCCTCACAGCTGTAGGACTCGGGTTCCCTGAGGTTCCCGTTTTCTTGTTGCCTGTTGTCAGAGGTCATCTTCAGCTCCAAGAGGCGGCCTGCCCTTCCTGACATTTGGTCCTCTCCACAACGTGATGGAAAGAGAGTATCTCTAACTCACTCTGTGTCTAACCTCTAGACCCAGACTTAAGGGGCTCATGTGCTCAGGTCAGGCCCACCCAGAGACTCTCCCTGACAGTGACCTTAATTACCTCTGCAGATCCCTTTGCCTGCAGTGTACCCTAACCTGGGAAGTGTGTCCCATCAGATACCTAGGTTCTGCCCCCACTCGAGGGAAGGGCTTATACCAGGCACATGTACGTGGGCAAGACGGGGGCCCCACCAGCAATTACAGACCCTCTTAGAACTCTGCCTCCCGGGGCCCATCTTGACCCCAGGATTGTGCTCTTTCTTGAGTAGTGCTGCCTGCCACGTTAAAGATTGAATGCAGTTTTAAAAACAACAGAAATGACTAGAAGGGATCTTCAGGTCCTTGACCTTTGAAGATGTTTTTGTTTTATATTTTTTATTTAAAACATCGCAGTGCCTGGGAGTAGTGAGCCCTTTATGACGCAAGGACAGATGCCCAACAGCAGCGTGCAGGACATGTACAACCAGAGTCCATCTGGAGCGGTGTCCAACCTGGGCATGGGCCAGCGGCAGCAGTTCCCCTACGGAGCCAGTTACGACCGGAGGTGAGTGCACTGGAGGCGGGGACCATCCCGCGGAAACTCTGCTTTCCTGACACGTGTCAGAGCCCTGGGAGCTGGGCCCCCAGCGACAGCCTCACGTCTGCTTTCTGCGGGCACCAGTAAGAGGCAGGTGCAGCTGGTGAACAGTGCAGATGAGAGGCTTTGACAGGACAGGAGGGCCTCACCCCTGGGCAGTCAGGTGCAGCTGTGTTGCGTAAGTGACTACCCGGAAGTACACGTTAGCTGTCCTGGGGCTGGCCACGCCGGGCAGGAGTCTGTTCCCTGGGAGACACCCTCACAGCCCGATTGCCTCTGTGATGCCGTCAGTGAATCCCGAGTCCAGATATTCCTCCTCCTGCACTGGCCTTGTGGGAAAGGCATTTGGCTGCTTCTATAAGGTCGGTGGTCAAGCCCACCAGCCACTGCACAGAAGAAAGACGAGGTAGTCTGCTTCCGTAACAGTTTACAGCCTCGGAAACCCAGTGGGTGTTGCTCTGAGTCGGAATCCACTCGTTGGCAATGAGTTTGGTTTGGGTTGGTTTGAACAAGCACGATCCTTCAGCTCTGTGGTTTCTTTCTCGGGACGTGTGCCATGATAGCCACCCCTGGCTCTCGGGGCTTGAGGTGCGTGTGCCCTGGCAGGGGTCTTCCAGGCCCTGCTTTTCAAGGTGTTCCCACTCTTCCCTGTGAGCAGTTTATACAGAGCAAGCACACAGTTCCTTGACACCCCAAGGAACGCCACAGCCCAGGCTCCCAGGAGTGGCCTGTGAGGAAGTCACCCCCAACACTGCATTGACGGGAAGGCCATGGTGCCACCACTCATTCTGGTGTGTCGCTGGGAGGTGGTCAGTAAACTGCTTCCTGCAACAGTGGCTCAGAGTGGGCTTCCCTCTGCAGTAGCCCCTGACCTTGGCCCAGGTGCCTGCTAACTGTAAAAAACCACCTTCTTCGTCTGCATGGGCGTTAACCTCCCTAGAGGAGAAATGCTTTGACATAAAAGCCTTTAGTATATTTGTGATTTTTAAAGGGGATAAAAAAATGGCCTAACTGGCCACACTTGGCGTGCCTTGGCACAGGGCTGGTTTGGGGTCACGTCTCCTGAAGCCAGGGTGCCGCGGTGCTAGTGGGGACTGCCTCAGTCAGGACCTTCCCCTCATCAGTCTCCCGTGCTGGGTCAGGAGGGAAGGGTTTCTTACAGAAAAGCGTTCATTGGCGTAACACAAACAGAAGCAAAAATGTGCAAAGTCACTGCATTACCATGCCAGGTTTCTTCCTGGCCATTTCTGTGAGCCTGGTTTTTGACACTACAGACCTGTCACATGCAAACGGGTGATGTACTCAACTTCTGATCATAAGGTTGGCGGTTCAGTCCACCCAGACGTACCTTGGAAAGAAGGGCCTGGCCATCAACTTCTGAAAAGTCAGCCACTGACCACGAAGCACAGTTCCACTCTGACGCACACGCACACACACACGGGGTCACCTTGAGTCACAGCCAGTTCAACAGCAGATAGTTAATAATGACTTAAGACTTAATTCTTCTACGTCTCACCCTGGCCAGAGTGACAATTAACTAGTCAGCCATTCTGTGCTGTTCAGTGCACTTGGACTTGCTTAGTTTTGCGGGTCCAGGAAGTGTTTTGGGGGTGGGGGAGTGCTGAAAGATCAGGAGGCAGACGTGGTACTGGGGTCCGTATTTGGAAAGGAACCCAAGTGAGTTGGACCTCTGTGCTTCCTCTCATACGCTTTTGGGTCCTTTGCGGCCCGGGGGACCTTCCTGCTTTCTGGAGTTGGTGTGGCCCAGGTTTCAGCGTTCCCGTGGCCTCTTGTCACGTGGGAAGCAGGTTTACCTGCTGTTGAGTTTTCTCTTAGGATAAACAGTTGCTGTTACTCAGCTTCCATTTTATCCTGTCAATTATTTTCCTTTCTTGCTGTTGATAGGTATCTAGTTAGCCATCAGTGTTGTCAGACGTGTCCTGATGTGTATTTTACACGTGACATTCTGGAAATTCCCTTGTCCTTGTCCTTGGTCCTGGATCAGCTTAAGAATGTCTTCAGTCCGAGCGCGTGCCTTTTTCTGAGGTTCCATGTTCACTTACTCCTTCAAAGAGCCCAGTGAGTTAGCCTTCCAAACATGCCATCTTTCATGGTGTTTGTAATTCCTCAGCGTAGCAGCAGTTGAAAAATAAATGTGTTTCATTTCTGTTGTGAGATTTGATGGTACATTTCAGTCATCCCTGTCACTCATCACTGTAGCCTTTGGGAGCCATTGGATTTGAGAACTTTTAGGAATTAATGTGTACCACTCCCAGCTAACCTGGTACCGTTTGAGTTAATTTTCCAGTGTACCTTTCAGAAACCGAGCGTTCTGCATCCTAACGTGAGGAGGGCGGCATTCTGTGTTGCTAGCGTGGCGTGAGGGGGGGAGCTCTGCATCCTCATGTGGCGTGAGGGGGGAGCGCTTCAGCGACTCTGCCCGTGTTCCAGTCCTGCTCTTAGAGACGACACCCTTCGTCGTAGGTCCTCTTGCTGTGTCTCGTGTTCACCACCTCCCATCAGAATGCTGTAGGACCCTTGCTCTCGTGTGAACTTGGTGGGATGGGCCCAGCTTCTGCCTCAGAGGCAGGGGATCTGATGTGTGCTTGCAGGTTGCCTGCCTGTCTGACCGGCAGCCCTCCACTCCTATTAACCAGCAGCCTGACAGGGGCCTGCAGCCTTACCTGCCATGGGTGTCCCATCCCTTTGGCTGAAGTCAAAGGGCAGCTGCTGCTGCTCCTCGGACCCTCCATGAGACCATGTATGGTGGTGGCAGGGGACAGGGTCGCTCAGGGCCGTGGGGGTTCTAGAAATGGACTATTGGTGTCTCTGCCGGCCTGAAGCCCTTCAGCACTTCAGTTTTCTCTGAACGCCTCATTCTAGGCATGAACCCTATGGGCAGCAGTATCCAGGCCAAGGCCCTCCCTCAGGACAACCCCCATATGGAGGCCACCAGCCCGGACTGTACGCACAGCAGCCGGTGAGTTGGGAAGTGGGTGGGCATCTCTTCATTGTTGGCTTTTCCTTTGCTTCTGAAGTTTGCAGAAGTGGAACCAAAATGATTTGCATTCAGGTATGTTTGTCCCACGCTCGAGAACAGTCCTGGGATTTTGAAGGCAGTAAAGTAAGAATCCCCGTTGATGTGGCGCCTAGACCAATGTAACACGTACCAGCAGCACCCAAGTTCAGTACATTTATCCATGTAAACAGTAACAGGCCCAGTCTAAGTTCGGTTTAAGTGTATGTGTATTGTGTGTACTCTTATATCAAATATGTTTTACGGAGGGCGTATGGAAAAAACAACGTACAGTGTTTTGTACCAGGAGCTACAGTTAATTGGATTTTTAAGCATGAAATATTAACAACCAATACTTTGACCCTGGGTGGCACAAATCATTAAGTGTTCAACAACGAGCAGGTTAGGAGGGCAAATCCACGCAGAGGCACCTCAGGAGAATGGCCTGGTCATGTAGCTCCGAAAAATCAATTCTTGAAAACCCTGCGGACCACGGTTCTGGGTCCTCACACGTGATGTCGCCGTGAGTTGAGACTGACTCTGTGGCAACTGGATTGGGTTATCTTTTGGTTTTTTTGACTAACATGGGCAAGTCCATGCTGGTTGGCGGGCGGCTCTCCGGAGTTGGTGCCAGGCCCCTGTCTTCCTGTTACCAGCACCGATGGGAGAGTTTCCCATCTCGGGTTTGGCTTCCAGGCACAGAGGATTTTGCTGTCTCTAAAGAAGTTTTCGGGAGACGTTTTACCAATAGATTTGTTTGTTGTTTTTTAATTTTTTTAAACACAAAGCAGTCTTAAGCATTTATTTCATTTCACTGCAGCCCTGGGAAAGACCAAAGGCAAGGAGCACTTTCTTCCCACAGAAACTTTCAGGCCCAGAAAACCCACTCTGAACCCTCCATGAGTGCGGGCATGGTCCTGTGCGCCCCCAAGGCCTTAGCTTACAGAGGCCCTTCCTGATGCTGATTCTGAAGGGAGGGGGTCCCCCCAGGTGGGGCCATTGTGTCGTTGAGTGGGCCTGATCATGCCTGTGGGAGTTCCTATGTGATCTGTCTTTCTCTGGCTTTCAGAACTACAAACGCCATATGGACGGCATGTATGGGCCCCCCACGAAGCGCCACGAGGGAGACATGTACAGCGTGCAGTATGGCGGCCAGCAGCAGGAGATGTACAGCCAGTACGCGGGCACCTTCTCGGGGCCGGACCGGCGGCCCCTGCAGGGCCAGTACCCGTACCCCTACAACCGAGAGCGGCTGCAGGGCCCCAGCCAGATGCAGCCGCATGGCCTCCCGCCCCCGATGATGGGCGGCCCCATGCAGGCGGCCTCTGGCGAAGGCCCTCAGCAGAACGTGTGGGCGGCACGCAACGATATGCCTTATCCCTACCAGAACCGGCAGGGCCCCGGCGGGCCCGCACAGGCACCTCCCTACCCCGGCGTGAGCCGCACCGATGATATGATGGTGCCCGACCAGAGGATCAACCACGAGAGCCAGTGGCCTTCCCACGTCAGCCAGCGTCAGCCTTACATGCCGTCGTCAGCCTCCATGCAGCCCATCACGCGACCACCTCAGTCATCCTACCAGACGCCTCCGTCACTGCCAAACCACATCTCCAGGGCGCCCAGCCCCGCGTCCTTCCAGCGCTCCCTGGAGAACCGCATGTCGCCAAGCAAGTCTCCCTTTCTGCCCTCTATGAAGATGCAGAAGGTCATGCCCGCGGTGCCCACGCCGCAGGTCACAGGGCCACCTTCCCAGCCACCCCCCATCCGAAGGGAGATCACGTTTCCTCCCGGTTCCGTAGAAGCATCACAGCCAGTCCTGAAACAAAGGCGAAAGATTACCTCAAAAGACATTGGTAAGCATTCCACACAGCTTATCCCGAAGCGAATTTCAGGTGAGATGTAGAATTTTCATTTTAGGTTAGAGGCAGTGTTCTGGTTACCTAGTGCCACTCAGACAAGAATATACCACAAATGTGATTTCTTTAACAAACAGGAGTTTATTAGAGTTGGAGGCTTTAAGCCTGAGTTCAGGGTGCCAGGCTCTAGGGGCTGGGTGAAAGCCCCTCAACCTTGGGCTTCACCTCTGCCTCCTGCTCCCAGCCCACTGAAACTGGAGGCTTTTTTTCACTCAGCTGCTGGCTGCTGAGGCTGAAAAGCCCAAGGTTGACAAGTAAAAAGGCACAGTCTGAATGTTACCAGACAACATGGCAGGCCACTAATTCAAGTCCAGAAGAAGTTCTGAGATCGGCAGGGCATGGCAGGCTGTTGAACAGTGACGTGGCTACACGCAGGGTTCAGGGATGCCATAAGGTAGAGAACGTCCTCAAAGTCGCTGCTTAGATACGGGAAGCAGCCCACGTCCCTAAGGCAGCTACTCAGCTGCTCCAGTAGCTTCTGCCGTGGAGTTAGTTACCCGTCTCACCATGGAGAATAACTACCTACAGTTGCCCAGCCACTCAACCAGGCCCAGCCAAGCTGACACCCAAACTTAACCACCACAGGCAATTCCTGTTCTTAACGAAGAGATGCGGTTTTTAGGGCTTCGAACTAGACGGACGTGTTCTTAGGTAGGAAGAAGCATCGGAATCTGCTCATCTGGATGGTGAAAAGGGCCGGAGAAGAGCTGGAAGTCTGTGCTGCTTTCCCGCATGGCTGTTATGTGTGAGGGACCAGAGCTCCAGGGTGGGTCAGGGAGTCAGTCCCGTGCTTACCTGCTGTTCTGAGTTTAAGGGTTTGACCTTAACCAGACCACTTAATTTCTACAGTGTCTGTTGAACGGAAGGCTAATGAAACTCTGAAGCTGACCTGAGAAAATTTGAAAGCAAGCCACTCTGTGATTTAGGTACAACACGTAGATAGCAAGTTTCCCTGAGAAAAAAAGTAGATGCCTGAGTACGAGGCATAGCGCTGGCACAATCCAGTGACCCTGTCAGACCCGGGCCGCAGGACGGTTTCAGCTGACTGCTAATTTGGCTCATCCCCTCTATACGCTGTGTTCTGAGTACCAGCTAGAGACTTAGGATGCTGAAAGCACACACAATTTTCTGCATTACTTTTGAAGTAATTTTAACACAGCAAAGGGAATAATAGAATGAGGTTGAGTAAGAAGAAATATTTTGGAAATCTTAAAATCATTTGCAGTGATGAGATTTAAGATGTTTTCAATCATGGGACATATTTATGCCCAATGTTAGAAGGTATAAATATATATCTTCATCTGTATCTGTATAAAGGAGCTCTGGTGGTATAGTGGTTAAGGCATTTGGCTGCTAACCGGAAGGTCTTTGATTCAAATCCACCAGTGCTCCATGGAAGAAAGATGAGACAGTCTGCTTCTGTAAAGATTTACAGCCTTAGAGACCCAGTGGGGGTCACTGTGAGTCAGAATCAATTCGATGGCAGTGCGTGTTTTGCTTTTTTTTTAATCTATCTATATAAACATGGACAGAGATAGACAAACACACACCCTGCTCCACTTTTTATATATAGAACTAGATATCATGCTTGGTGCAGTGGAAGGTCAGCCAGAAAGGGGAAGGCCCTCAACGGATGGATTGACACAGTGGCTGCAATGATGGGCTCAGGTCTAGCAAGGATCATGAGGCTGGCACAGGACCGGGCAGTGATCCGTTCTACTGTACATAGGGTCTCCATGAGTGGGGGCCAACTCGACAGCACCTAACAACAACAGCAACAAGACATGAAAATATGTGTGTTTGTGTATGTATATGGTATGTGTTCTGGTTTCCTAGTGCCACTCTGACAAGAATATACCACAAATGGGATGGCCTTAACTAACAGGAGTTTATTCTTACAATTTGGAGGCTTTAAGTCCAAGTTCAAAGTGCCAGGCTCTAGGGGCTGGGTGAAACCTCCTTAGCCTTGGGCTGCAGCTCTGCCTCCAGCTCCCAGCCCACTGAAGCTAGAGGCATTTCTTCACTCAGACAGCTGCTGGCTGCTGAGGATGCCAGGCCCAAGGTGTAAAAAGGCACAGTCCCCGATGTTAACAAGCCACATGGCAGGCCATTAATTCAAGTCCATTGTAAGTCCCAAGGTCAGCAGAGCACGGCAGGCTGCTGAACAATGACTCAGCTACATGCAAAGTCCAAGCGTGCCATAAGCTAGAGACCCTTCTCAAAGCTGCTGCTTATATATGGGAAGCAGACCACATACCCAAAGACAGCTACTCAGCTGCTCCCAGTAGATCCCATCATGGAGCTGATTACCAGTGTCATCATGGGGAATACTACATCCAGCTGCCCAGCCACTCAACCAGACCCAGCCAAGTTGACATACAAACATAACTACTACAGTATGTGTGGGTGTATTTCTTTTCATGTAGTCATTTTGTTTTCTTCAGCATGGGGAGGGGGGCAGGGCAGCCCACTCCTCAGACAAGGATCTTGAAACACCAGACCCATCAAGGTGGTAGTACCTCTTCTCGACAGTAGGTTCAGGGCAGGCTCACAGACACGGAGGACAGCATGGAGGGATCGGGTGTGTACACCTGGGGATGTGCTGTTTTGTAATGAAACTTTGCGTAGGTTCTGCATACTTACCAGCCCCCCGAGGACACCCCTTGAGACCTTTGTGAATGGAGTAGGCAGATAAAACAAGTACCCCACTTGGCTTGGACTCATTTATTAAACGCTCTCTGCCATCGTGGCAAAACTGTCTTAGGGGACAGAAAGAAACAGCCTGGAGAGGAGAAGGGACCACTTGTGCTGACCTGTCCCACCGCTAAGACCACTCTGTCTCGTGTTTAACCAACAAAGCAACAGAACTTCCCAGTAGAAGTCTCGCAGCCCAGCTTCTCGCCACCATGCAGATGTGAAAGGACCGTGTGTCCCTGAAAATCAGTGTTTCACTCAAGCCCACGCTCCAGTTCTTGCCTTGCTACTGTCCCTTCTCTTGTTTTCTGTCTGTTCAGGCACAGAGTTAATAGTGATTAGACCCTCCTTTCTTTTCCCTGTGTTTAGTAACTCCAGAGGCATGGCGTGTGATGATGTCCCTCAAGTCAGGTCTCTTGGCTGAAAGCACCTGGGCTTTAGACACTATTAACATTCTCCTGTATGATGACAGCACTGTTGCCACCTTCAATCTCTCCCAGGTGAGTCAACCCCGGTCCAGGTAAGGACCAGTGTAGAACGTTGGAAAGTGGCTTGTGCATAAGGCTCGTACTCGTCCTGATTAACACTCCTCATGTGGCTCACGCTTTTGACATTATAGTTACCATAAACCAGCAGTCATCATACACTTTGACAATTCAGTCTAGAATGGTATTAACTTCAGACATGCCTGTGTGTCTCCTGTTTGCTCTTAAAACAGTGACCTTGTATACATGTAGACGGGGGATGGATGATAGCAGTAGAGTTAAATTGTTATTTAGCAATGAAGATTAGCAGACCAGTGGAAATTAATCGAAATATCACGGAGCTCTGACCATCAGCCATGTTGGAAATGAAGGAGGTTGCAGTGGGACGTTGCCTTACTTTCCAGAGGAGCCTGCCACCTTTCTTCTAATTAAAAAGAAATTGAAATAAATTTCATGTTATAGGAAATATATAATATGTACAGAAGTTTAATGAAACCCCCCATGGACCTATCCATCCAGCTGAAATAGTCATCACCTCACAGGCAAGTGTGCATTTTGGTCTCTCCCCGCCCATTTCTGCCTCTCTCTGAATTATTTCAAAGCAGTCTCCGAGAAGCCAAGGACTTTATAATGCGCTTAAACCCCTCCTTTGTTCAGAGCTAGGCTTAAAGTCCTCTCTAACTTAATGTAGAAGAGAGAAATGGAAAAAAGACTTAGGGAAGATGCCCAGGATTCAACGGGGCTGCAGACTTTTAGAGAAGTGTTTAAGGAGAGAATGAGAACCTTCCCCACTGCTTATGAATAACGCTCTGTTTTGAGGGAGGGGGGCAAAAAAAAAAAAAAACCCTAATTTCCTTGCTTCGGTGGAAATGAGACCAGAGTCTCCCATTTCCTCATTTCAGTCCTCACTGTTGCCCTGAAAGGCCATTTTTCAGTGGTGAGGAAGTGTATTAATAAGGTCATAAACATTGCATGAAGTCTGTTTTAATGGAGAATAAGTACTAAAGGAATTTACTCTGCCTTCGCCGGCATCATTAACCTCATCCTTATGTTAGGGGCTGTTGTTGATCACACATTTTCATAATCAGACCTGCTTTCTTGACCCCTTTCCCCCAGGGAAAAAGTAAACTTTAGGGGAGAGAAAACACCCAAAAGTGCTTTGGAGAAACGAGGTCCTCAAAGCAAGGATGTTATAGTCGGTACTTGGATTCCCCCCTACTTCTCGGTGGTGATTCCAGGCCCACTCGCAAGCATCTGACAGTAGCTGTAACAGTGTGGTGGGTTTCCATAGCGGCCGTCCTTAAAGAATCCTTCATTACTTACCCTTGATCATCGAAACATGCTGGTGTTAGTGTTGGGGAGGGGGCAGCCCATTGCTGATCAGGGACAATGTTGTTTTCTCTTTGATACAAACATTGCCTTGAAGAAACAGAAGGGGTTCTCAGAGGCAGAGGCTCGCAGTGACTGTCTTTCAGCTCTCACCGTGAGTGACTGAAATGAGAAGTTTTGTTCCATGAAGCATGCTGACTAATTCATCAGGACTAAATTGATTTGTTTTTAATTTTCTGTTTATGAGTTGCTCCATTGCCAAAATTATCTTCTCCAAAAGACATGTGGAGAACGTAAATTGGAGCAACCTGTAGCCCCTGAAACAAAAATAACAGTAAAATCCTAGGAATATTAACCACAAAAACCCAGGCAAGCCAGTGTCGGGTAAATTATGGAAGAGAACCACTTTGGGTGCGCAGGTCTATAATATCCACACTCCACTCTTCTAATGAGGGACGTGGAGCCGCGAACTCAGGAAAGAGGTCACGAACAGCCAAGCTCACTCTCAGGTCCCCATGAGAGACGAGAAGGTGCATGGCACCTGTGAGAGCTGGGGCTCGCCAGCCCCACCCTGACTTTTGGGGTCTCGCAAGTTCTCTGCCTTCAACAAAGTGCCCACTTTTTTGTCTCTCCTTTTAGTGGAAAATATTTACATTTTCCCTCTCTGCCAGGTCCCAGCTTTCGTAGGTTTTACTGCAAAAGCTGAATTTGCATGTTGGTAGTGTAGGAATGCAAACCTCAAGTAAGAAACATGGCGGATGTTGGTTTAGTCCGTCATGCAGAACGCAGGGAGTTCCTCTTAACTGAGAAGTGCTTTATCTTCCCTGGCCTAGCAGCCAGAAAGGAAGCCGCGCATGGTGAACGTAATCCCAAAAGCGGATTGATAGCCATTGGGAATGTCTCCCTCAGCCCGAGAGGACGTTGTGACCTTGTGTCTGTTCTTGTCCCCCTCCTCTCCACCCCCTAGTTGTCGGGATTTCTCGAGCTGCTGGTAGAGTACTTTAGAAAATGCCTCATCGACATCTTTGGAATTCTCATGGAATATGAAGTGGGAGACCCCAGCCAAAAAGCACTTGATCACGCTGCAGTGAGGAGAGATGAGAGCCAGCCCTCGGCAGACGACCCTGGGAGAGAGGCAGACGACGCTGGAGAGAGCGAGGACGAGGACGAGGACGAGGAGGAGGAGGAGGAGGAGGAGGAAGGCGGCGAGAGGTTAGAAGCCGATGACAAGAGCACTGTGGCTTTCACCTCTCCCGATGCCACTGCCGACCCAAAGGAGAAGCCCAAGCAAGCGAGCAGGTTCGACAGGCTGCCCATAAAGATTGTCAAGAAGAACAACCTGTTTGTGGTTGACCGCTCCGACAGGCTGGGCCGCGTGCAAGAGTTCAACAGCGGCCTCCTGCACTGGCAGCTGGGGGGCGGGGACACCACCGAGCACATCCAGACGCACTTCGAGAGCAAGATGGAGATCCCGCCCCGCCGGCGCCCACCGCCCGCTCTGAGCTCAGCGAGCAGAAAGAAGGAGCAGGGTGGGACGGGGGACGCCGAGGAGCACCAGGAGAAAAGCATCATCGCCACCATCGACGACGTGCTGTCGGCCCGGCCGGGGGCCCTGCCCGAGGACGCCCACCCCGGGACCCAGGCCGACAGCAGCAAGTTCCCCTTCGGCATCCATCAGGCCAGGAGCCACCGCAACATCAAGCTGCTGGAGGACGAGCCGCGGAGCCGCGACGAGACACCCCTGTGCACCATCGCGCACTGGCAGGACTCGCTGGCCAAGCGCTGCATCTGCGTGTCCAACATCGTCCGGAGCTTGTCCTTTGTGCCTGGCAATGACGCCGAGATGTCCAAACATCCGGGCTTGGTGCTGATCCTGGGGAAGCTGATCCTTCTCCACCACGAACACCCCGAGAGGAAGCGAGCCCCGCAGACCTACGAGAAGGAGGAAGACGAGGACAAGGGGCTGGCCTGCAGCAAGGACGAGTGGTGGTGGGACTGCCTCGAGGTGCTGAGGGACAACACGCTGGTCACGCTGGCCAACATTTCCGGGCAGCTGGACTTGTCTGCTTACACGGAAAGCATCTGCTTGCCAATCTTGGACGGCTTGTTGCACTGGATGGTGTGCCCGTCCGCAGAGGCGCAAGACCCCTTCCCGACCGTGGGGCCCAACTCGGTCCTGTCGCCTCAGAGACTTGTGCTGGAGACCCTCTGTAAACTCAGCATCCAGGACAACAACGTGGACCTCATCCTGGCCACACCTCCGTTCAGTCGCCAGGAGAAATTCTATGCTACGTTAGTTAGGTACGTTGGGGATCGCAAGAACCCAGTCTGTCGAGAAATGTCCATGGCGCTTTTATCGAACCTCGCCCAAGGGGACGCGTTAGCAGCCAGGGCGATAGCTGTGCAGAAGGGAAGCATTGGGAACTTGATAAGCTTCCTGGAGGACGGGGTCACGATGGCCCAGTACCAGCAGAGCCAGCACAGCCTCGTGCACATGCAGACCGCCCCCCTGGAGCCACCTAGCGTGGACATGATGTGCAGGGCAGCCAAGGCATTGCTGGCCATGGCCAGAGTGGACGAAAACCGCTCCGAGTTCCTCTTGCACGAGGGTCGGTTGCTGGATATCTCCATATCGGCAGTCCTGAACTCGCTGGTGGCGTCTGTCGTCTGTGACGTACTGTTTCAGATTGGGCAGTTATGACCCAAGTGATCAGCAAGCCTGTGTGAGTGAAGAGTGGAGGGTCACATAGGACTGGCTGTGTTCTGTTCTTGTTTATCCAGCGTAGGAAGAAGGAAAAGAAAGTCTTTGCTCCTGTGCCCCGTTCACTATTTACCAATTGGGAATTAAAGAAATGATTAATTCGAACAGTTACGAAATTAATATTTACTGTCTGTGTGTATAAGTACATCCTTTTTTTATTATTTTATTTTTTAACCAAAGTTGCTGTCTAGTACATTCAAAGGTCACTTTTTGTTTTTCATGGATTTTCTTCTTTGGTGTTCTTTTCCATGTCGTATTGCATTTTTTTTTTTGGGAAGCGAATTGACTCTCTAGAGAAAAATAGGGTGGTAACACGCTGAGATGGGAAAAATTCACCATCTCAGGCAAAAAGGGTGAAAAATGATCAATTTCCTATGGGTTTTATTTTTCAGATCAGGAGGAGAAATAAAAAAAAAAAAAAAACCTATACCCCATCACCCAAAGCTCTGTGCAATAGAAACTTCCAGAGACGTAGGGATCGGGGCTCAAGGAGGTGTGTCAGTCAGTAGTCAGACGTGGGATGTTACTGGTCTCTTCACAGGAAAATGGTTCCATTAGGCTAGGAGCAGAAACGGTGTTTCCAAGTTATGATTCAACTACGTAACCCGACAACAGTCGACGCAAACCGCTTCCTCACCACTACGATCATGTCTGCTGTCTGTCCTCTAACCTTCCCCATGACAGTTCTTCACAATTCCTTGCATCATTTTTTTAATTTTTTTTTTTTTTTACTGCCTGTAGGCTGTGATGTATATAGAAGTTGTACATTAAACATACCCTC